AGCCAGAAGTTTTAATTTTTTTGAATCATAATTTTTAATTGATTTACTAAAACTGATTCACAAAAATGAATCAAATTGAATAAATACCAGTGATATTCACAATGTCACCAGAAAAACTGTCAAGAATTTTGACAGTTTTAAAAATATATTTCCAACTCCCAGCCCTGGCCAGGAAAAATCTAGACTAGAATCTAGAAACACTCATGTTTCTAGAAGGCAAATTAAGTTCTGAATTAAGAGAGTTTCCACTAAGAATCCTAGCTGTCTGGCTGTGGAACACCGTTGACGTGATCTGAGACAGATGGGAAGAGCTAGCCAAGTTAGCACTAACAGAAGTAAATGTTCTCTCTTGTCTTAAGCTTAAAGGGCTCGATGTGCGAAAGTCAGAGTGGAGGTGTGCAGACAGAAGAGAAACATCAGGGAGTGAATGGGTGCAATCCATAAAAGGCCCGGGTACTTAGTCAGTGATGTTTTGGGAGAAAGACCGAGAGAGAGCAGCGCATAGTGTGTAAATAATGAGGTCCAAGAACAAAGACTGTAATGGATCCAGCAGGTTTGTGGGTTGGGTGACGGTATAAAAATGAAAATAGTGTTTAACACCCAATTAACACTGCAGGCGAGCCATGTGACAATGCAAAGCGAATTAGAGAAGTGCAAGAAGTGTAGACGACTTTATTGATTATGATGGGAAAACTAGGAAAAGATTTTCAGTGAATAATGATTTTGCTAAGTTCGTCACCAAAAGCTGTTGTACAGTATGGCTTCAGAATTGCAATATAATAATCATATGGACCACTCTTCTGATAATTAAGGTGCTTTTAGTATTTTTGTAGCTTGATCAATACAGTTCTTGTTTAATATTCTTAAGAAAAAAATCTTAAAGATTCACCTTTTTGTGTTCTACGGAAGAAAGTCGTATTGTTTCTCAAAACTCTCAAAACTCCCAAATGCATAAGTTCAAGAAAGAAATAATTGTTTTGAATTATAGAGGTCATCTGGAGAAACCACTGCCCTCTAATTTACATGTTCCTCAATTGTTCATTCTTTCCCTCCGATATCAGTCTTATATTTACCTATTTTTCTATTCCAGTCACATCTGCCAACTCTCTCATTCTACTCAAGAAGTGTTTTCATTGCCCTTTCCTCCTCCTTTTCCTTTTCTTCCTTCATCCATCATTGTGCTGTTTAAACTCTCTCTCCATCTCCTGTCACTTCTCATCTCTCCCTTTAAAGAGTGTAAAAACCCATCTGTTAAAATATTTATGTAATGCTATGAGTCTGTCATTACTGCTGCAAAGAACCTGAAACAAGTGTTTTGGCACAACCTTTGACAGAAAGTCGAGAAAAGTGTGTCTCTGCCCAGATCTCCATGCCAGAATCAACATGACCCATCACGCATACGCAAATGTGCACAGATCAGGTGTCTTTAAAAAAGACATTTTTCAATTCGCAAATAGATTTGTCATTCACATCTGCAAACAGCCAAATACTTGCAGTATGTTACTGAGGCATCTCAGATGAAGTGCATACTCTGAGAAAGGCAAAAGAACTTACGGTTGGCAGATGAGAATAAAGGAATGCTTTGCATAGTGAAACTTGGCTGTTTCAAAGACACCTGAGCTGTGCACATTTGCGTTTGGTGGGATGGGTTGTGTTGACTCTGGCAGGTAGATCTGCGATTTCTTTCAGCTGTGGAAGACATTGAACAATTGATCAAAAAAGTGGTTGATGGTTGCTGAAATGTTGCTATTTTGAGGTAAACAGACTCTGCCTTTCATAAAAACATACTATTTGTGGTGTTTAGTAAAACAAACATCACTATTACAATTGCTTCGAGAAGAGATTCAATCTTACACCTAGAAACATGTATTAAAGGGGATAGTTCACCCAAAAATGAAAGCACCAGGCACATGCATTGTTTACGAGCAGAGGTGCTCTCGCTAATGGCGGAAGATGTGATTTGGAGAAAAATAATTTTTGTATTGTTATTTTTGTTTTCTTTGCACACAAATATATTCTCGTAGCTTCTTAAAATTGCGGTTGAACCATTGATGTCCCATGGACAATTTTACCGATGTCCTTACTACATTTCTGGGCATGGGAACATTTTAGTTGCATTGCTGTCTATGCAGGGTCAGAGAGCACTCGGATTTCAACAAAAATATCTTAATTTGTGTTCCGAAGATGATCGAAGGTCTTACGGGTTTGGAACGACATTATGGGTTAGTAATTAACCAAAGAATTTTCATTTTTGGGTGAACTATCCCTTTAAACTTTGGTGCAGAACTCGCCCTTCAACATTTGTGTTATGACATGACATAACATGAATAACACTTCAAATTTGCCTGACAGTCAATAAAACAATAAAAAAGAACAAGTAAAAAACAGCACAGAACATGTCTAAAAACCTATTTTATCTCAATTTGACTGCTCATTATATGCCCTCTCTAAAGGAGTAAGTGAAGTCTCAGAGATTTTGGCATAGCCGTTAGCCCTGGATCCTCAGGCAGCAAGTATCGAGTATCTGCGGAGTGGTTGAGTGCTCTGACACAGTCCAGGCCTGAAGAGGAGAACATAGTCTCTGTGCTTAATCATTTAGCGGCTTACTGCTAGTTTATGTTAACGCCATTCTCCCAAGGTCAGCTGCATAGCAAGCCGTGAATGAACACTGGATCGCCTCTGCGGCGCTTGAAACTTCATAGCCTTGTTGCAGGCACTCACAGTGATATCTCTGTCACTGCCAGATCTCAGCAGAAGTCATCTGGTGTTAGAAATGTAATCCGAGCCATTGTGACAGTGTGTCAGCATGAGAGGAGGGGCCATCATGGTCCAGTGCATATGATTTTGCTCATAAGTAGGGCATGTTTGCATGTTGTATATACCAGTTGGTTGGTTTTACACTGTAAGCCATTAAAAGTGTAATTGCAAGGCTAGAAAACCGCAATGTGAGAACTAGATTTTCAGATTTACTTAAAGGAGTCATAGGATGCCCATTTTCCACAAGTTGATATGATTCTTTAGGGTCTTAATGAAAAGTCTGTAACATAGTTTGGTTAAAATTTCTCAATGGTAGTGTAAAAAAACACCTTTTTTACCCTGTCAAAAACAGCTCTTTTCAGAGCATGCAGATTTGTAGCATTTTCCTTTAAATGTTAATGAAAATCTACATCTACAATCTAGCTCTGCTGACCCCGCCCCTCTCTTCTGAGCCGCTTTAGCTGCATTCATCGTGAAACTTGCTAATTAGCACATTATTAAGAATATGGCTGCGTCGAAATATGCCTACTTCCATACTATATAGTAGGCAAAAAACAGTATGTGTGCCAAGTTGTATGTCCGAATTCACAGTATTCATAAAATAGTAAGTGAAAATTCTAAAGTGTACATCTAATGGACTCTTTACTATCCCACGAGGCCATAATAGAGGATTTGTGAATGGCAATGAAGCGATGCAATTGACGAATGAACTTCATTCATACTACAAACATTCCTACCATATAGAACGTCTCAGGTTACTTATGTAACCATGGTTCCCTGAGTAGGGAACGAGACACTGCGTCCTCTAGGGGTCGGCACGCCGATTGCCCCCTCGGAGGCATCGCGTGTGTGCTCTTCGCCCAAACAAATAACACATATATAGTGTGTGTCATCAGATGTTAAACAACGTCAACACGGATGCACACATCCTTAAACGCTTTGCTAGTGCTCGCCATAATGAGATGAATAGAGATCGCTCTTACCACAGAAATGCACGCTTCAAACAAAACAGTCAATGAAGACGAAGAAGAGAATGATGTGTGCTCTCGGCGCCTATTTATACTATAGTCGCACCGGTAGTGACGTCATGGCTGTCGCCGGCCAACGAGTTGGTGTTTTTTCAATGTATGCTTCAGACACGGGTCACGACGAGGCGTTCCCCATAGTGACCCCTAGAGGACGCAGTTCGAAGTTCCCATGAAAGGGAACATACTATTTAACGGTTGAGAAGCAAGTTTTCAACTAAATGTATTAGCTACAGTATTCGATTTCAGACATAGTGTATGCGTGTGCTAAAATGTTGCCAGGGTGTTGCTATGTGGTTGCTGGTGCGTTGCTAGGGAGTTCTAAATGGTTGCTAATTGGCTCTCTGATATTTTGATCACGAAAATATGAGATTTACTTTTATTTTCTACCATGCAAATTTGAGGTGTACTTTATGTCCATATAATGCAAATGGTGAATCAAACATCAAATATTTAGTGTTTTTTTCAAATCATGTATGAACAATAATAATATCAATGCTTGAGTGCTAATGCTCAAACTGCTCAATTTACTGTAAAATAGCAACACCTCTGCAGCCATCAAACCACTTATAGACAAGCACTTGAGTCACTTTTTCAGTGTTAAGCACGGACTAAAAAGACCAGTGTTCCTTTATTCAATCAATCCCTATTCTCCCTTTCTTGCAAGGATTATTAAGGATAATGAACGATCTGCCTGTGTGGAAGAGTGAACATTGGCCCTGAGATGAGAGAGAGAAGCTTACACACACACACCAACCTATAAGCGGGAACCATAACTGTGACCATATGCCAGCCAGCTGAGCTTTCATTTGGTGCCACTCCTTTCTCGGCATGGCTAGGAACTTGTGTACATAATTTGTGCATATCTGTGTGTATTGGTGTATGCATTGCAATCTGTGTACAAGCGTGAATATTTCTTCTACACAATCTGCTGACCACGGTTAAGCAACACTTCCTGGTCTTGCATTCAGTCTTACATCAATAATTATGTTGCTCATTAGCTTTTACACAACTTGCTCAAAATTATTGCTGATGTTAATTATTCTCAGCTTAATGCATTAAAGTTTAATAGTGTTAAGGGTCTGTTAAAAATCACTAACCCTAAGTATGACATAGACAACACCTCTAAATTAAAGCAATATAATTTTGTCTGAAAATATAAAGTAGAAATTATCAGGCTAAATTTGACAGTATTATGTTGAAATGAATATTTCAGGTTTATTGTGAAGCTAGGACATTAAATCCACTAAGATTAAACCTGTGTGAAAGAGAGAGACAAACAGAGGATGTTATTAACAAGTGTTCAGGTGTACATGAATACAAGCACACAAGGTGTTTACGTGTGTACCTATCTGTGTCTCGTCCACTGTACCCGCATTCTCTTTGTCTCTGTATGCCTCCTCTCACCCATTCTGATCTCTGCTGCACCACTGATGATTTATCACAAAACCTGCAACAATTAGGACGAAAACCTAATTTTAACCAATCAGGATACACTCATGCCCCCAGCAACCAATCAGAACACACTCATCCACCCAGCAACCAATCAGAACACACTGAACCTCCAGGTTTAAAGGGGTCATATGATGCTGCTAAAAAGAACATTATTTGGTGTATTTGGTGTAATAAAATGTGTTTATGCAGTTTAAGGTTAAAAAAAACATTATTTTCCACATACTGTACATTATTGTTTCTTCTCTATGCCCCGCCTTTCTGAAACGCGTCGATTTTTACAAAGCTCATCGGTCTGAAAAGCGAGATGTGCTGATTGGCCAGCTAGTGCGTTGTGATTGGCCGAATACCTCAAGCGTGTGACGGAAATGTTACGCCCCTTACCATATTGTGATGCCCTGTATGGCCGGAGCGACGAGACATAAACATTAAAAACCCATTATAAACGAGGCATTTGTTGCATCCAGTGGGTACATAATTACGGATTATAATGACTTATACTGTCTTTTTACGCGTTGCGTTGCATCGCGCCGCGTAAACATAAAACCATGTCTGCATTTGTGATCAGAGAAATGACAAACAACAAGTGCTACTCTACACTGCTCAAAACTCGCGTTTGAATCATCAGTGGCAAATTCTTTAAATATAAAAAACGTACTTACAGTCTGTGAGTCAGAACAGCCAGCATTGTAGTCTACTCTACCAGGATCAGGAAACAGTCCTCCATAAAATGCGCTGGACACATCTGAATATTTGGGTTAAACTGTTCTGGAACAGTGTTGTAAATACAACTTAACCATTGATTTCTTGTCGTGTCCTCTTTTGGAAGACCGAACTAAGTAGTTTCGCTTTCACAACGAAACAGCGTCACACACCGCGGCCTTGAGTGAGCGGAGGCCGGAGGCCTAGAGTGAGCCGCGGCCTAGAGTGAGCGGAGGCCGGCTTGAGTGAGCAG